TATAGGCGATGTCCCTCCCAAGCCATCTACTTTTGGACCATGTATATATTTCGCATGAACCTCTTCGCTCAGTCCTAATTTTTTCATCTTCTGCTTTGTTTTCTTGATATATTTTCTAGAACAGCGTTAAGCTAGGCCTTGAAAAATGCATCCTTTACCGGTCCCTAAGAAACATGTTTCATGGCAAACATGGGGATATCACTGGCGCTCGTCCGATACGTTTATTCTCAGCAGCATGTCCATGGCACTGTTCACAGGTTCGTGTTTTGAACGATTACATTTAAGAGGTTGGATCGTATCTTATGACTGAAATTGCTTCTTTAGATGAGATGCTCTTCGCCTTCATGGTCCCATTACTCCCTTACATCTTCGAGAACCGCTTAGGGTTAGACACGTCCCTCACCCAGCGATTGACCTCCCTATTTCTAGTTGAAGGAGCGTTGATATCTATCATCTCGAGTCCGTTTGTCGGGAATATAGCCGACCGGGCCAGCTCCAAGAAGGTCCTACTACTGGTGTTGCTGGTACTGACGCTGATCAGCGTATTATGTCTATCGATCACCACATCACGTAAGTTTTTGTTAGAATCGCACTATCACCCTGTTGCTAACTGATCCCAGTGACCTGGCTTTTAATCGGTCGCTTCTTCCAATGCATCGTCAGCAACGCATTATTCATCGTCGGCATGGCCACAATGACCGAGAACATCGGGTCAGAACATATGGGCAAGATAGCAGGCTTGAGCACGACCATAGTAGCAGCCGGGACATGTTCCGGTCCCGTCATTGCCGGGTTTCTCTTCGGAATCGGAGGATACTGGACAGCGTGGGCGGGCGCGGCTCTGTTCCTCGTCGTGGATATCATCATGCGTCTGCTCATGATTGAAAAACCGCAGAAACGCCGCGAGACCGCTTGTCAGGATCGAAATAGCAGTGGATCCCTATGCGCTGAGGAGCAGACACCCTCGTCGGAAACAGAACCGCTTTTCGATGCGGATCAGTCGTCGAGTACAGAGGAAATTGGCGGTTGGAGCTTCTACGTCTGTCTTTTCCGTCAGCGTCGCTTTACGGCGGGGATTGCTTGCTATTTTGTCTTTGCGTTGTTTATCGCCTGCTTTGAGTCGACGATTGCCATGCATGTCCGGTATGCTTTTGGCTGGGGCGTTTTCCCGGTCGGGCTTTTGTTCGCGTCTATACAGGGACCGGGGATGGTCTTGGCTCCTCTTGTTGGGTACTTGAAAGACCGTGTGGGATCGAGGGTGCCTACTACTATTGGGTTTCTCTCTGTTGCGCCTTTCCTGTGGTTTCTTGGAGTCGCTGGTGATGAGCGCTTTCCGTGGGCTACGTTGGGAACAAGGGGTAAGATTATTTATGCCGTCTGTACGACTATGATTGGGTGCTTTATGTGCTTGCTTATGGGTGTTGGGACGATGGAAGCTACTGGTAAGTTGGGGTGTCATTTCTAGAGACTGGAATGCTGATTTGTTCTTTGCAGCAACCGTCGATGAGTTGGAGGATTTACATCCTGGAGTATTCGGTCCCTACGGAGGGTACTCTCGTGCTATTTCAATCACGAACATGAGTTGGATGTCCGGTCTACTAGTCGGACCCATCTTGGCTGGGTTTATGGTTGAAAGATTTGGGTATTTTGAGCTGCAGTGTGTACTTGGTAAGTTATGTATGTCGGCGGCTTGCTTCCCATTCTAACAATATATAGTGGTTATTTCCTTGCTGGCTAGCGCCAACGCTGCCTTTTACCTCCGTCCAACCAGTCCCCGGAAAGGAGAGTGTAATACTAGTGAATTTGGGACCGACGAAGAACTCTAATTGTTAGACGTCTAAGAGAATACAATTTATAGCAATAATGTTGATTCGGCTTGTCAGCTTGTGTGGGGGACGCGGTCAATGTGTGTAAGAACACAGCTGTCAAAAATATGCAACAGAAACAACTTGTAATAATTGAACACGACATTATCATCGTTGGCATCTGCACCTTGCCAATCCCTTACCTGCTTTGCCAATGTGCTTGCGCGTATGTAGGTTGAAGGTTTCGGTCACATCTGCATGTGTCCGTTTCCGAATGTGGCTTGGCTGAAGCTGACTGTATTTATTTCTGCTTGGCTTTATCATTTGTATGGAATTAATCTGCGTGGTAATTTAGTTCAAGTGTAATATTCAATTAGTATCTTCCAATGCAATCTTGTTAGGAGAGCACACGCAGAGATGTTAGATGCATGGTGCAATGTGAGGTTAGTATTTTATTAAACGGTCGAAGAAGCTGAATATTAACTACTACTAGAGACTATTTATGAAGTCTGACAGATATTTTGAGTATTATATTTTATGGTTACCTAGTGAGAAACATTTCTTTCACATTTCTAACCACTGTATAAGAAGCCATTCCATATCAGCCAGGGTGATTGTTGGCTGGCGCAATGGTTCGAGACCTCTAGTACCTACTGGGGAAACCCCACAATTCCAAGAGATCCCCCTTAAGCTCCTTAAACATACCTAGGATCGGCCTTGCGAAAAATTGACAAGGTGTGATCTCGAGGTTGTGGGCGACCTCCACGTTAGGATGATGTTCCATCTTACTAAGGTGATCACCTACATCACTAACCCTCAACAATAAAGCAATAATCCTGAGGGTATCAAAGGCCTAGATGCCTCGGGTAACAGAGTACGGAGTACATATCAGGGGTTACACCTGGTCAATGCTCCGGGGTGTTTTAACCCTACGGAGAGGTCAGGTGCAACCTCGGTGATCGTGGCGATCAAGGGAGAAGAATGGTAGCAGGGTATGCAGCTACGAACTCTAGCTATTTGCACTGAACTTGATGGCAAAATACATTGCATAATGCAGGACCTAGATAACTATCTGCTTCTCAACAAGTAGCTCTTCAAATCTAGGCGAGATTGCTTTCATATCGTACATGTTCTCAAACTTCCCACAGAATACATTACTCACAGACGGTGGATGCCAAATGTCTAATTATTCTTATCCTCCTGGTTACAATATTAATAAGAGAAAAAACATCTTTAGGAAGGGCTTATGAGATTCACATAATTTCCATACGATATATAGAAACCGCATCGGATAATGGTTCAGATATCCGGCATATGTATATCGACATATTTTCAAGGTTATAGAGGCTCAGATCTTGATAGTTGTCCACTCAGAATGTACTCATGAAATGTGCTGCGCATATAATACTATCTTATATACCTAGGCATCTATGGTAGATCCTAAAGAAGCATTTGGCTGGTAGAAACACATATACTAGTATAATGTACCAGGGTCCGTAGGATACATGAAACATATATTAATGCTATAACAATTATTGAAGCTATTGAAAGTTGCGGCCTGTGCAAGATATCTAAAATTAGAAGTGTGAGTGTGTACTCCGTAGAGATTAACCCAACCAAGTGCAACATTGATATTCACACGTTTAAAAAAATGTTAACAAACAGAAACATAGGAAATGTACGGAGTAGAAAAACAAAAATAGATTCAAGGTGGATGTGATACGTCGATCACGAAACAACATAATAACTGACAGGTGGTGGGGATTGATTAGTGGCCTGATTATTGACGAGGCAACTGCACCCCCTGCGGAATCAAAACCCCCTATTTCTTCTAACCTCAACACACCCTCAATTTCAATCCTATCAATCATGCCGGACACCGCTGATCAGAATGCGCCTGTTGCGCCTGTTGCGCCTGTTGCGACCGCTGTGCCTGAAGAAGCCGTCAATAAGCCCGTGGAAACTCCCGCGACTGCTGCCGAAAACACCGAACAGACTGCAGCCAAAGATGGAACTGCCAGTGCTCCAGTCAAGGAGGAAGTCGCTGCAAATGATGCGACTGCTGCTGCCACTGGCACTGCAGAGCCCGAAGCCGCAAAGCCTGAAGAACCCAAGGTTGAGCAGCCAGCCTACCTGAGCAAGAACCCGGCCTTGGGTGAATTGTTCAATCGCCTGCCAACCATCCTCGAAAGCACCGGCCACACTGAGATGTGGGGAGTAGAACTCAAGGATAGCAATGATGTCCCCACCGTCAACGTGTTGATCAAGTTCCTGCGCGCAAACGAAGGCAATGCCAAAGCTGCTGAGACCCAGCTCAGCAAGGCACTCAAGTGGCGCAAGGAGGTGAACCCGCTGGCATTAGCGGAGTCCGCGAAATACAGCGCGACCAAGTTCGGCGGTTTGGGATACCTGAGTACCTACGAGGAGAACGGACGGCCCTTGGTGTTTACTTGGAATATCTACGGCGCTGTGAAGGATATCAGTGCGACATTCTCGGATACCGATGAGTAAGAACCCATCATGAAACGCCATTTACAATTGCAATCAATGCTAACTGCGTATAGATTCGTCCAATGGCGTGCCGCTCTCATGGAACTCGCTGTGCAGGACCTGAAGATGAAGGATGCCACTGAGGTCATCGAGTACGACGGCGAGGATCCCTACCAGATGATCCAAGTGCACGATTACTTGAATGTCAAGTTCTTCCGTATGGATCCATCTGTCCGTGCCGCAACGAAGAAGGTCATTGAAGTGTTCGCTACGGCATACCCAGAGCTCCTGAGTGAGAAGTTCTTCGTCAATGTGCCTGCTATCATGGGCTGGATGTTCACTGCCATGAAGTTTATCCTGAGCCGCAATACTACGCGCAAGTTCCACCCGATCACAAACGGCGCCAACCTGGCTCGGGAATTCCCTGCTTCAATTGCCGAACAGATCCCCAAAGTCTATGGTGGCAAGGGTCCGGAGCTGAAGGAGAATGCTAGGTTCATCCCACTGATCGAGGACAAGGAAGAGGAGACAAAGTGCAAGGGCAAGTCTGCCGAGAAGTCTGCCGAGGAGCCTACTGTTGCTGAGCCCACCAAGGAAGAGACTGCTAAGGAGCCTGCCACAGCAGATGTTCCCAAGGCCGAGTCTCTGAAGGAAGAAGCTGCGAAGGATGGAGCGCAGTAGATCAATTGGCTGGTGCTGTCTGTTATGATACCCGGAGGAGCAGTGAATAACACTCCCCGCTCTTGTGTACCTGGTTTCGGGTCATTTGTGTGCTCTCTCAAGATGCACTGTATTGTTAATACCTTATGGCTAGCCATACCTAATACTATTATTATCTCTTTATCACAATGAAGATTGATCGATGTCTTCATGAAGCGAAAGCAGCCTAATGTAGGCTTGGCTGTAGGGTAGCTTATACGGCTGACTGTAGAACCACTCGCGCAACTCTTATCGACAAGCTTTCATCTTTCCAGGCGGCGCTCGTTCACCTTATTCCTTCTGTCCATTGAAATCCGCTGCGTCTTATCCACCATTTAAATACAATACTGATTCAATAGCAAGGGCTGTTATTGTTTAATCTGTGGATCCGCTGGCGGTGGCCTCAGAATGCGACTCGCTTTCTAAACTTCATCTGCCCCCTCGCCCTTCACCTCACTTTTCGCGATAGGACCATTATTATCTAAACCCGAATTTATCTCGATCTTTTCCTCACACACCTTCATTCCAGACTACGGCCTTCCATCATGTCCGTCTGGAACCCTGATAACATCCGCGATGTTGCCGAATCCGTCGGTATCCTCAACCTGAATAACGATGTGACCGAGAATCTCGCCCGGGACGTCGAATATCGGGTTGCGCAGGTCCTGGAGGAAGCGCTCAAGTGTATGCGCCACTGTAAGCGAACAGTTCTTACCACTCAAGACATTGCGCTGGCATTGCGCAACCTGGACGTGGAGCCATTGTATGGCTACGACTCCACACGTCCGTTGAAGTTCGGCGAAGCCTCGCTAGGACCTGGCCAACCGCTGTTCTACGTTGAGGATGAGGAGGTTGACTTTGAGAAGTTGATCAATGCGCCTCTGCCAAAGGTTCCCCGCGAAGTCTCCTTCACTGGTGAGTGGATACTCTTCCCTACTTATGTGCTGTACAGCCTCTAACGTCTACTCTAGCCCACTGGTTAGCCGTTGAAGGTGTGCAGCCGTCGATCCCTCAGAACCCGACCGCTGCCGATTCTCGTAACCTCGAATTGATCTCGAAGGGTCCGAATGCCAACTCCACACTGGCGGCAATCAGTGGCACAGGCGACGTGGCTGTCAAGCCACTGGTCAAGCATGTGCTTTCAAGGGAACTCCAGCTCTACTTTGAAAAGGTCTGCAGTGCCTTCTTGAACGAAACAAGCGAAGATTATCGCACCTCCGGGTATTCCAGCCTTCGCGAGGACCCAGGTCTGCACCAGCTGGTGCCATACTTTGTCCAATTCATTGCCGAGAAGGTTACGCATAGTCTCAAGAATGTTTTCGTTCTTACTCAGGTGATGCACATGGCCGAGGCGCTGGTTCAGAACAAGTCACTTTACGTGGACCCTTACGTGAGCAAACCTACTATCAGAGAAGAACATGATCAGACGCTAACCGCATCAGATCGCATCCCTCGTACCATCCATTCTTACCTGCCTCATCGGTCGACAGCTCGGCGGATCTGCGGATCTCGCAGAGTCATTCGCTCTGCGCGATATGGCCGCCTCTCTCCTCAGTCTAATTGCCAAAAAGTACTCCCACTCATCTCACATGCTCAAGCCTCGACTCGTGCGCTCCTGTCTCAAGACCTTCCTCGACCCTTCAAAGCCATTCGGTGCTCACTATGGTGCCGTCATCGGACTGCAATCTGTCGGCGGCTCTGAAGTAATCCGAGTGCTCGTCATTCCCAATTTGCACGAATATACCAAACTCCTCAGCGATGGATTGGACGATGCTGCTCGTCGGCCAGCTGCCGAGCGAGTTCTGGGTGCACTTGTGGCTGTGTTGGGCTCGCTGCGTAGTAGTCAACCGTTTTTGACCAATGGTCATACTGTCACAGACGACCTCCGCTCCAGACTAGTTGACAAGGTCGGTGATATCATTGCATCAAGAATCGTGGAGGCTGGTGAGGTGCAGCTAGCACATATCATTTTGGAATCATGAACTTTTGCATGGTATCTCTCGGGTGCTTTTGCGATGAGATCCCGATGATTTGTTCGTACGACATGGCGTTATTTCGGGCGTTGGTTCAGGGATTATGGATACCTAGTAGACATATTCAGAATGTGGATATGTTTCATTCTTAAATAATCACATTGACACACACATTGATCAGTGTGTTTTATATGGTAACTCCATCCATGGATATCCTACTTTTATGTAGTGGATTCCCCTCTTTGATATCTATCTCGACTTTTCTTCCCTCGGGAAACGAAGGGCTTTGCTTTTTGCACATGTGCTTACTCTCGTGGGTCATAATTTTGTGGCGCTTGTCTGTTGTCATTCACATTGGTAGTGGCTTGCGTAGAATACGTATACGTAGACGCTTGGGCCCCCCATTATATGCTGAGTCATGCATAACTTATGTAATGTCTTCAGGGACAAAGTTTAATTCTGCCTAGTCTCACCGCTCGTGTGAGAACCAGGGCCTCGCTTTGGCGTTTTCTTTCGTCTCTCACAGGTTGAAATCGTCCGTGACGGTCTGCACATTACTCCAGCTCTAACTTGCCCAATTTGTGTGTAACATATTACAGACTCCAATACTCCGTATATTCCCTGCAATTGAGACTAACACAATTGTTTCCCTGATGTCAGACAAATTTTGATCCGATTTGCCCCACACTGCCGCGGGCCCACAAAGAAAATCACTCATTACCAACCGAGCTGACCTTCAGCAAACATTTTGCACTTCCCCTCCCACTCGAGGTCACCAAGGCCACAACAAAAACTGCTTCGCAAATATTTTTTTCTTAGCGAGAGATTCCTTGTTCTCTCTAGCCCACAAGTAATCAATCCTTGATCTCGGGCACCCATCGGGCTTTTGGGTGAGACTGTCCTACAGACAAACCCCCGCCGATGTTCACGACTGTGGCCCTCCGCTACCTCGTGCTGATTTAAGCCGGACTTGTCTTCGCCTTCCATGAGCCCAACTGATCTTCTGCGATTCTTGTCTAAGCCCGCGAAGTAAGTGTGATTTTTCCCTCTGTGTTTGGAAAAGCCAAAACAATCAAAGACATTGAATCGAGATATCACGGCCAATGTCTATCTTTTATTATAGCACTGTTTCTAACCAGCATCCTGCTTTAGGCCTCGATAACGCGACTCCCGTCGTCACCAACGCCTACGTTTTCGAATACCCTTTTTTCAAAGCAGAATTCTCGTCTGCTAGACCCGATACTTTGACCGGTATCGGTATCTTTCAGGACGAGGGTACCGACTGCTAGTCACCATTTCTCTTAGCATCTTCTTCTTGTCCTTCGCCTTCCGCCCTCCTTAGCAGCCCTTTGGTCTGTTTGGAGATTATACCCGCCTGGTCTGACCAGTTAAATCTTTGTTTCAGGGCCTTCTCTTCTCAGACGGGCATCGCCCCCTTGGCCGTCTGGGTAAGTAGACAGTGCTTCTATAGCCTATCTTCTCGAAGTACATAGGGCGGTCCGACGTCACTGTTTCTGCTTCGTTCAACCCACACAAGTACAACAGCTCAAGCTACATCCGTCATCATGGTTTACGTCGGTATTCCAACGAACTACACCACCTCGCCGTCCTCGTTCGTCGCGGGGACCCCGTCTCTGACAATCAACTATGAGGCCACCCAGGATCTCGACTCGACCAATGCCTTCGAAGGTCCTGAGAAGCTTCTCGAGGTTTGGTTTGCGCCATCTGCCGCTGAACTAGGCGCCGCCGGCTCCGAGGGCCTCAAGAAAGTGCCAGGGGAAATCTGGAAGGACATGTTGGACCTGGTCAACTGCCAAGTGCTTTCCGTTATCTCCTCCGATGAGATGGACGCCTACCTTCTGTCGGAGTCCAGTATGTTTGTCTGGCCGCACAAGTTGATTCTCAAGACGTGCGGAACTACCACCTTGCTTTCGGGACTCCCCCGCATCTTGGAGATCGCCGCTCTGTTCGCAGGCTTCCCACGCGCTACGGCGCCTCCATCCCGGGGTATCACGGTGGCTGCGGCTCCCTACCGAGTCTTCTACAGCCGGAAGAACTTCCTCTTCCCCGACCGTCAACGTGGCCCCCACCGCAGCTGGCGCGATGAGGTGCGCTCTATGGACAAATTGTTCGTCAACGGCAGCGCCTACATGATCGGGAAGATGAATGGAGAACATTGGTATCTCTACCTTACCGAGCCTGGCACCGTACTCACCCCACCGGCGAGTCCCAAGGAGGAGGTTGACTTCCACGAGACCGAAACCAAGGTTCTCAGCTTCCCTGAAGCCAAACTGCGCACTGATTGTGATGAGCACGATGAGACCCTCGAGGTTCTGATGACCGACCTTGACCAGGAAAATGCGAAGCAGTTCTATCTCGAAAACGCCACTGCTGTGGCCGAGAAGCGTCACCGCAACTCGGAGAAAGACGATGATCACTTGGACGTCTTCAGCAACACCTCCGACATGGACGAGGAGACTGGTGGCATCTTGCCGCCGGAGCTCACCACCGAGGGCCACGCTCTGGGCACTATCGTCTCTGAGTCATGCGGCCTGTCCGACGTGTACTCCAAAAGCAAGTTCCCGGATGCTCGCATCGATGCGTACCTCTTCACTCCATGTGGCTTCTCTGCCAATGGCGTTGTGCCGGCTCCTGATGGCAACGCCCCGATCCACTACTTCACTGTGCATGTCACACCGGAGCCTCAGTGTTCGTACGCATCTTTTGAGACCAACGTTCCGCACTCTCAGAATGGCAAGGCCACCGCCGACATCATCCAGCAGGTTGTTGCGATCTTCAAGCCTGGCCGTTTCAGCATCACCTTGTTCGAGACTAAGCCCGCGTTGGATGAACTCGACGAGACGAATGGGCAGCATGATTTGGCGCACGCTCAGCGCCAGGCTCATCGACGCAGCAACAAGATGGAGCATGTTGAAGGCTACCGTCGTGTCGATCGCATCGTCCATGACCTGAACGGTTATGATCTTGTGTTCCGTTACTACGAACGCAATGACTGGAAAGGGGGGGCACCGCGACTTGGAGAAAAGGGATTCTGAGCCGACTTGGTTCTTCAGCCATCCGCTATTAGACTATCTCCTTCTCGCGGGTGCGACCTTTCTATCCGTTTGGGTTTCTGCTTATTTGGCATTCAATTTTGCACAGTCCTTTCTGTTTTGTTTATTTTTCGTATCATCTCGTTTATTTCCTTACATAGTGCACAGCATCGCATGATTAAGCTGAGCGACTCATTCTTTTGTCATTTGTTACAGTGGTTCAGTCGAGAAATCTTGAAACATAGGTATATCGAGCTCCTCAGAATTTCGGTTTGTCATTCCTTTGATCATACATCATACCTGGTTTCGAAGACTCATTTTAGAGTCCACTCAAGCGTCTTGAGCTGCAATATTATCATTTTCTGCACCATATTCTTTCCAGTGTAGAGTGTAAATTCGAATTCTAAGATTCCCAAACGCGTACGGAGTACAGCATCCAATGTAGTGTCATAGTCCACCTCGGACGGAAGGCGGTGAGATGCGTCCTTATCTTGTCTTTTGTCCAAATTACTTCCAATCGATCAACGAGCTACTTTCGAAACCCCGCAAATCATATCGCTATCTACGGTCCTTTGAGAGATACATTACTTTCAGTCCAACTAGCATTCATTCTTTGTTCCAACCCGAGGTTGATATCGACCTTCCTCCCCCGGCGCAACGGCGCAGCGCGAAATCCTCGGCCCTCGAAAGAGCTACACCTGGCGCTCATATTCTATCGAAAAGATTGGGCATTCTCGTAGCCGGCTATTTTGAACACAAGCTTACCGAGCCATCATACGCGCAACACATCGCGCGCCCATTTATCCGCTACAACCTCTCAAAATGTCGTCACCACCACCATACCAATCGTCATCCAATCCCCTCAAACGACCCTCCATCTCCTCTGCCTCACAGCCGATTGGCAAGAAACAACGCATGCATCCACTCCGCCAAACGTCATTCCCGAACGGCATCGATGTTGGAGATCGCAGTTTCGCTGGTACCAGCGAAGCCGGTAGCGTGACAGGCAGTTTCACAGGGAGTCTAGGCGGAGCAAGCGCAGATGGAATCTTCTCTGCCGCACGGGGAAAGAAACGCGGACGCAAGAGTAAAGCCGAGAAAGAACGGGAACGGGAGCGCGATGATGCTCTCAGCGCTAGGGCGGGAGATTCTACACGGTTCGGATCAGTCGATAACGAGGGTTCGGTCCGAGGTGGTCCTTCTGGCGGCGGAGGCGGCGGTGGGGGTGCTGATGATGCGGACGATTATGACGACGACGACGAGGCAGAGCTGTTTGGGCAGCAAGAAGGAGCTACGGATACAGAGGCTGAGAAGAAGAACCTAGCGTACGTTTTCTCCTGTCATTGTGGTAGTATTGGATGAAGCTAATTTTCGTTCTTGGACAGGATCCTGGTTGATGCTTTCAACCCTATGCAATCGGAGCGATACGATCTCTTCAAGCGAGCGAAGCTGCGCAAGGAAACACTCCGCCGTATCGTTAACCATGCCCTCTCACAATCCGTCCCGGCCAGCGTGGTCACGACCGTCAACGGCTTCACCAAGGTCTTCGCCGGTGAGGTGATTGAAATGGCGCGAACGGTTCAGGCCCAATGGGCCGAAGCACACGACCTTGCTGCGCGCGATGCGTTCGAGGCCGAAGAAGCCGCTGCCGAAGCCGCGGCCCAGGCGAAAGCCTCAGCTGCGAACGCAAATTCAAAACACTCCACACCAACCCCCACAGGCACTCCAACTTCTTTCGGCAATGGTGTTAAAAAAGAACCACACGACTCTAGTCGTACACCTACACCCTCTATCCCTACTTATCAGAACTCTCCGCACCAAACTCCCACTCCTCTCCGCCCCAGACGCGAGTTCCGTCTTCCGCCAAACCCACACCGTGGCCAACTTCTTCCATCACATTTGCGTGAAGCGGTACGGCGGACGAAGCGTGATGGTGAAGGTGGTGGAGTCGGTTACTCGGGATTGAGTCTGGAGAACCTGGGAGTTCGAGGCTCATTCACGTGGAACTCGGGGAGTGCAGGTGGGAGGAGGCTTTTCAGATGAAACTCAGTCTTCATTGCATATTTGGTGGGATTTTTTACTTTCTTTTCATGTCTAATACTACACTAAAATTAGCGATCTGGACTTTGGGGGAAAATTGATACAGCAGACTGGCTCTGATATCACGATTCTTCTCTTCCGCAACATACTATGTATGTATGTACTACGAACAGACTTGAATCCAGTCTTAATTTAGAACACAAGCGTATCAATCGCACATTCCATTAGATTTGATCGATCGAACCCAGACGCCCTCGATCTTGGCAGGGGCGAAGAATGCCGGTGTCATTTACAACACATCTAAGTACTCCGTGCAGGCAGACATGATTCGTATTGGATAGGAGCTATTGTCTAGGGTTAATTATTTGCTCCATTTTCTTCATGTGGTCTCTCACTATACCCTGTGTGTCGAATCCTACTGTTTTCAAACAGTCAAGTCTACTCCTAGTGTAACCGACATACCAAACACAGCCATGTCCTGGATACTACATATCACAGAAGGGTGGTGCTTTTCTCAACTTCATCCTGCTGCCTATGTGGTTAGGTGGTCTGGTTGGGTACATGGCGTTCTCGGAATTAGGGCTATTCTCAATGTCATACAGTAGACGGAGCACGGAGTAGAGATGGACTAAATGAAAATACATAGTAGACCTATCCTTTATCCCCATCCAAAATCAAGAATGAGGTAGATCATTTATTCGACCCTGCAGAAAGCCACCGCGCATGTGCAGCCCTTGCTGCTATCCGAGTGGCGTTCTCCTCTCCGTTCCTGCAATAATGTGGGACTACATAGTCCGATGTCCACCTGTCTCCCACGGAATATGCGATTGGATCTGAACACATCAGGGCTGGCGCTTGCAGGGCCGCGTCGACTGCAACTCCTTTCTTTCTTGGCAGCCTCTTTCTTGATGGGATCGCCGAGGGAGGGGGTTGCTACGTATCTCAGTTTCTTGCATGTCTCTGCTTTCTTTGTGTTTCTTTTAGTGTCATTCTGTTCTTTTTATACCCTCTTTTTCGGTTGGAGTGGGATAGTCGTCCTTCTTACCTCATAGCCTGGTTCTTATTCGGATATTGGACGTCTTTGACTTGCGTTTATAATGCACTCCCTCCAGCCCTCCAATCTATATACCCGTTTAATAGATACAATACCTACAGCCTTGCTTTGGTCCTCCGGGGATTCATCGGTGAAAGGAGAT